ATATATATATATATTTATAAACATATTCGGTGTTTGAAAAATTCTTATCTACATATAGTGGCGCGTCGTTACAAGATGTTTTCTGACAATTTTTACTATATCAATCTCTCGCAGAGTAAATAACTGCCTTCTAAATTTCAGTAAATTTGCAATGGCAAAACGAAAAAAGGAAACTCGTGTTTCAAAAAATTCTTAGAATATAAAAAATTATAATTTTTTCAATTCATTTCAGTCGACGCTGTTATCGTACGCGTGTCTGCCTTCTATCGCAAATTATGTAATCGCTGCACATACAGTCACGTGGAAGTCCTCACGCTTTGTGTGCACTGAATCCGATACATTCCGTCGTATTTCATCGGAATGCATAATGACGATCCGTATATATGTATAATAATGTATGTATAATGCTCAGCCTTCCTCTTCTCGAGGACATTGTTATACATCCTCGCGATTCATTGTTGTATTTCCTGCGCCGGACTTTACCGAGCGCGAGGACTTTACCGCTGTATCTTTATCTGATCTACAAAGAGAATTGTATAAGCTCCAAATGACGATAACAAGTAGCATCTCAATTCTCTGTGTTGGATAATTAAGTCGTTCGCCCCGTGAATTTGCCTGAAGGCGAGATGCGTGATAAAAGAAATTAAATTCACAACGAGTATGATTAAGCATGCCAATCGTGAACTCACGATCGGAAAATGCATTAAATAATTTAAACGCGTAATCTATGAATATAATATGAATATAATATAAAAATGAATTAACGCTATCAATGATAATTCGCGTGAACCATTTACAAATTATTGTTGACAAAAAATATTTGTGGGATGGAACCATCAATGCTAAATTAATACACAGTATCACCAAAATTGCCATTTTTATCAGTCTTGTTATTTGAATTTTATTATACAACACTCCTTTTTATATCGTGATTATGACATAAATAAGATGAATTAAAACAAACATATATATATGTATATATAGTAACATTCTGTTTTAATTCATCTCATTTAACGTCATAATTATGATGTTTACAAAAAGTAGCCTTGTATTTAATAAAATTCAAAGAAAACTGATAAAAATAACAATTTTATTTCATAATTTTAATTTTATGTCTGATTTCAAATTTAATTACAGTTTACTGATTAAATATGATTCAAAAGATAATCGTATTTCTTGGAAGAAAATATATCTTTATACTTCTAACGATTCTAATCTAAATTCCTTGAGATTCTTTTGAAATTTTAATCAACAGCAAAATGCATGCCCATTCTAACAAACTCAGGTTCGTCATCGCAAGGTGACAAAATTACAATTCATTCCATAAAACAGGAAGTAAACTTTACGGGAAACCGCGTCTATCGCTTCATGAATACGCTAATTTTGGACACGCTTTCCATGCAAATTTCCAAATCAATCTGGTGTTCATCAAAAGAGAGTAGTATGAAAATTTTGTAAAAGTTTCAATGCAAAATTAAATATTAGGTCCCGCATTATTAATTCTCCATGAACTATCATGTCTTTAAACTAATTGTATACGATTAATAATAATTCTCAATTGCAATGTTTTATGAACGACTGCAACCGGTTTCTTAAAAACATGAGAATCGAAAAGATAAAACAAGAATGTATTATTTTATATAATAATTTTTGTAGCTTATATCTTCTAAATATTGTTAATTGTGCTTATTTAAGAATGCGAAACTTTAACACTATTTCAATTGACTTCTATTACTAATTTTGATCTTTAATTAATGAGACAATATATACCATCAAAGACAAGAAAAGAATTTTCTTGTCTTTGATGGTATAAGAAATTTGATCTAGCTATTCAAAGTCTTTGCTAATTAGATCTAGAAATTATCTTTGTTAATTTTCACACACACATATAACTGAATTAAATTATATTCCAGATTTAAACAAATTTCTTTTTTTATTTATTTTTACGACTATATATT